GGCAGCAGCTGGGCCGCACCGCATCGTGTGCCGCGTGGTGGAGATCAAGCGGCCCTTTGGCGTGACCATGTACCGGCTGCGGAGCGGAGCTGGAGTGGTGGAGGGTATGCATCAGGCCAGCAGGCTATCTAAGGCGCCACCCAGCCTGGCCAGCGAGCTGACCTTCAGCGGCACGGCGCAGCGAGGAGTGCCTGTGGTGTCTCTCAATGTGGCGATGGCGGCGCAGCCCGGCGGCGGCAAGGCAGCCGTGCGCTGCGGCTGCCGCGGCGCCTGCACCCGGAACTGCAGCTGCAAGAAGAATGGTGCGCGGTGTGGGCGGCACTGTGGCTGTATAACCGGTAAGGGTGGCAATTGCAAGAACCATTGAAAAAGTGTGCCTTGTACGCTTTGCCGTCTCCGCTGGAAGGTGCTGCCGCCTGTGGCGGCTTCATATTTCCTGTTCATTTCTGTTGTTCGGTCTCTCTGTTCGTGTTGGTTGGCTTGTAAGAGTTGTATTTCTGACGCTAGAGAGGTGAGATGACAGCGGGAGCGTTGAAGCGTGCATGCCATCACGTGTGCAAGCAGCCCCGCTCCGCCCCGCTCAACCCTCAAACAGGGCTATATGGGGTCAGTTCACGTATGGGAGGGGAGCGCCGCGCGGGCTGCCAGGAGGGAGCGGGGGCGGGGGTTGCCCAATCGGGAGGGTGCCACATCAGGGGGCAACACATGCTGGTCACCCTTCTGCTTTCCCTCCGCAGGCTACAGCGCTGACAAAATCCCTAATGACAACCAGGACCTCACTTTTGACGGCGACCTGCACGACGTGGCGGTGCTGAAGCTGGCCAAGCCGGTCCCTGATGCCGTGACGGTCACCCTGGCGGATGGCTCGTTGGAGATGGAGCGAGGGCAGCGGCTGAAAGTGGTGGGGTGGGGCAAGACGGAGGCGGGCCAGTCCAGCCAAGTGTTAGAGTGAGTAGCGCGCCTGCAAGGATGTGGCGCGTGGCGCAGCTGAGGCGGAGGGCAGTCGGGTGGGATCAGGTGTGCAGCGCGTGCGTGCATGTTTGGGGGCCCACGCAGCCACTCTCAAAGAGCTGCCCACGACTTGCAAACTTTGCTTGAAGCTGTCGGACCGACACACCTGCCGGCAAGGCAGTGCCCACTCGCCTCCCCTTACCCGCGCCTCCCCTTCACCTCATCTACCTCGTCCTCCTCCCCTGCTGCCAGGCATGCCGATGTGGAGCACATGGCACCAAACCAGTGCCCTGCAGACTACAACGATGTGATGTGCGCCGGCAACACCGGGGCAAACACCTGCAATGGCGACTCGGGTGTGTTTCTGCCTTGTGGTGGAGGCTGGCGTGGCGTGCTGGCCTCTCCGCGCAGCTGCTGTGCTGGACGCACCCAGGACAGCCTTTGTTGGCACTCGCGCCTCCCACAACACCTGCTGCCGTGTTGTGGTACCTGCAGGTGGTCCGCTGCTGATGGAAGACCCCAAGAGCGGCGACTGGGTGCAAGTCGGCATCACCTCGCACGGCCCCGACTGCTTGACTGGCAACCCGATCCTGGCCTATGGTTTCTACAGCGACGTGCGGCTGTACCGCGAGGACATTCTAGCAACCCTGGCGGCGGCGGCACCGCCGCTGCAGGCGCCAGGCCCCAGCCCCGGCCCAAGCCCTGGCAACAACTTGACCGGGGGCACCACCACCGTCGCCACCGGAGAAACCTCCTCTTACGACAGCGGCGACTTCACCTGCCTGGATACCTTGAATGGGTTCCAGTCTGACACAGACCTGCAGGGCGGCAGCCTGACGATGAGCGACGACAGCGTTGTGAGCTCTGCCGGCCCCGAGGATTGCTGTCAGTCCTGTGCTCGAGTAGAGGCCTGCTTCGCTTGGACCTGGAGCGCCAGCAGCAGCAACGCCTGTGGTGGGCCCTGCTGCTTCCTTAAGGCAGCAGATGGCTGGTCGGCCGTGGCTGCCCCGGGCGCCATCTCTGGCGCCTGGTACAGATAGCTGCTGTTAGCTGGTACAGCGAGCAGTCAAAGGGCAATTCGCAGCAGACTGACCAGAGACAGCGACTGACAGCTCAGCTTGCACACGTTGCTATGTTTTTTCTCTTCTGGCATTTTCGCTCATGTGTATGAGAACTGGTGCTACGCTATTCCACGAACGGCACACACAGACGTTGCTGAACGAGCACATGCCAGCATTGCAGCAACATTGGATGGACAAAATTGCAGTTTGTTGCTTTGACACATGTCCCGTGAAATACTCAGTGCTTAAAGTGGCGCACGCCGGTGGTGAGCAGCGCCACGCCGTACTTGTTGCAGCACTCAATGGCATCGGCATCCCGCACGCTGCCGCCGGGGTGCACGATGGCGCCCACGCCCGCCTGGCACGCAATCTCCACGCTGTCGTTCCAGGAAAAAGGAAAGAAAGCATCAGACGCCAGCACTGAGCCCTGCGCAGGCCGAAAAAACGAAGTGGGGAAGGATATGGAGGTGTGAGAGAAACCGGGGGCAAGCACTGGCTGCTGGGCGGGGGAGGTGGTGAGCAGGTGGCGAGCCCGGTATTCTGGCTGGTGCCCCGTCAAACCTGCATTCCCCGCAGCAGCTCACAGCAGCCTCGCTCACCTTGACCTCCTCCCCCGCCTTCTCCAGCGCGATCTGCACGCTCTTCACGCGGTTGGGCTGCCCGCTGCCCATTCCCAGCAGCTTGCCACCCTTGGCCACAGTGATGGCATTGCTCTTCACGTGCTTCACACACAGCCTGCAAGGACGGCGAGGCGGGACACGGCATGGCAGGTTCAACCCTAGCAGCAGCTGCTGGCTTGCTGCTTTGGCCCAAGCACACAATCACCCACTCCCATGCCGGCTGCTTCGCCACAGGCGCCCAGCAGCATGCACCGCCGCCATTCAATAAGCTTTGCCTGCAGCCCCAGCCCCCAGCCCCAGCCAGCTCACCAGGCAAACTTGAGGTCCTCCAGCTGCTGCGGCGTGGGCTGCTTCTCGCTGACGCATGTAAACTCGATGCCCTGCGGCTGCAGCGAGTCGGCTTCCTGCTGCAGCCAGCCGGCGGCCACCTGGCGCAGCGAGCGGCCGCTAGGGGCGCGCGGCGCGGCCTCCAGGATGCGCAGCTGCAGGAGGCAGGATGTTGGAAAGATGATAGAGGGTGTGGGCCCCAGCCAGGGCAGCAAGTCCAGCAGAGCAGGCACTGCCCCGCCTTGCCCCACCTTGCCTTTCCCAGCTGCCCCCCACCCCCCACCACCACACACACACACGTCCCCAGCTCCACGGCCCTCCCCCTCACCGTCTTGCTCTTGCCCTTGAGCACCTCCAGCCCCTCGGGCGTGTAGCCGGGGGCAATCACAATCTCGTAAAACATGCGCGTCTCGCCGTCGGTGGGGCTGCGGAACTCGCGAATCTCGCGTGCCAGGTCGGCATCCACGGGCCTGCACGGCGCCACGTCAGCGGCGTACCAGGTCACGCAGGGCGGATCGCAGGGTCCCGAATCCACCACCACCACCATCCACCCACCCTACCAATGCCCGCAGCTCCTTGGGCCTCACCCCGCCACACTGCCCCACCCACCGGTTGAACGCCACGATGCCGCCAAAGGCGGAGATGGGGTCTGCGATGACTGCCAGGCGGTACGCCTCCAGCAGGTCGTCCCGGCTCGCCACGCCGCATGGGTTAGTGTGCTTCACAATCACGCAGGTGGGCTCCGCAAAGTCGCAGGCTGCGGGCGGAGCAGACAGGAAGGCAGGTGTAGGAGTTGCAGGCGAGGCAAGATCAAGGACCGGAGCCCGGGGCAGGTGCTGGCCGAAAAGCGGCAGCAGCGGCAGCAGCCACACTGGCTGCAAAGCAGAGACACACCCCCGCCAGAGCATCAACATCCACAATGCTGGTAAGCCAACCACCCCAGCAGCAGGCCCGCTCACCTGCCGAGTAGGCCGCGTCTGCGTCCAAATAATTGTTGTAGCTCATTTCCTTGCCGTGGTGCTGCACTGAGGTGGCCACGCCACCCTTGCCGTGCTCTGCACAGGCGTGGGGCCAGGGTAAGCAGTCGGCACTGTAACCCAGGCAGTGGCCGCCCATCTGGTCTGTTTCAACCAGGCTGCATATGCTGCACACACACACACAGGCCCACCTGCCAGCGAGGCGTCTGTGTAGAAGGCGGCCGCCTGGTGCGGGTTCTCTCCGTACCGCAACCCCTGAGCCAGCTTCATGGGCACGCTCAACTCGGGGGCGGGGCCCTCGCCCACCGCGCCCCACAGCCACTCCGCCACCGTGCTGCAGGCAGGGCAGGGGCAGGGGAGGGGGAGAAGGGGCCAAAAGGCTGGTCAGGGAATCGTCCGGCAGGCAGGTGTGTACCGCACTCAGCACTCTTGTCTCTGCCATTCCTGCTCCCTGGTGTCTTTGGCCCACCCGTGGGGGGGTAGGGGGGCAGGGGGGGGTACCACTCCCCAGCCCCCCATTTCCCACCCGCCATACCTGTCGTAGGTGGCGCAGTGTTGGAAGGCCTTCCAGGCGCAGCGCTTGCGGAAGGCCAGCGCATCGGCCGCGTCGGCGCCGCCGCCCAGCTGCACCAGCAGCTGGCTGTAGTCTGCTGGGTCTACCACCACCGTCACGTGCTCGTGGTTCTTGGCTGCGGCGCGGATCATGGCGGGGCCGCCAATGTCAATGTTCTCAACGGCCACCTGCAGGAGGGATGGAGGGACAAGCAACAGCAAGGTGCTTATCAGCGGCGAGGAGGCAACGAAGGGATGGGGTGCTGCGCCCATACGGCATGCAATGCTGATGGCGGCTGCCGCCCGCGCGCGAGCCAACGGGGCCTGCTGTCTGTTGGTGAATGGCAGGGACCCTGCCCCTCCAGTCCAGCTGGACCGTCCCCCAGCTGCACGCACCTCATACGAGGGCGCGTTGGCCGCGGTAACGGTCTGGCGGAAGGGGTACAGGTTCACCACCACAATGTCAATGGGGGTGATGCTGTGCTCGGCGATGGCCGACATGTGCTCCGGCAGGTCGCGGCGCGCCAGGATGCCGCCGTGCACGCCCGGGTGCAGCGTCTTCACGCGGCCTGCACGGTGGGAGCAGCGACGGGGCAGGGCAGGCAAGCTCGGCACAGCCTGCCTCCGCCAGCGCCCGGTGCGGGGAGGAAGCTTTTAGCTGATCGGCGATACTACATGCGGTGTGCCAGGCACGCACCGTCCAGCATCTCGGGGAAGCCCGTCAGCTCCTCCACCCGCTTTACCGCCACTCCCGCCTTCTCAATGGCCGTGGCCGAGCCGCCGGTGGACACAATCTCGTAGCCCAGTTCGGCCAGGCCCTGTGCAGTGGGTGGGGGTGGAGTAGGGGCGGGGACGGGTGCATGATGGGAGCAAGGCAAGGCGGACGGATGGCGGCGTTGTGGCATCACCGACGCTCTTGCTACCTACGGCCACCTCTTTATCCATATCAGGCACATTGTCAGCCCCTGCAGCAGCTGCTGCCTGGTGCCCTGCACCTACCTTGGCCAAAGCATCCAGATTGGTCTTGTCGGACACAGAGATGAGGGCCTTGCCCTTGCTGCCTGCAGCCGCCATCACCGCCGCCGCCGCCACCGCCGGCCGTGAGCTGCTGCGAGCTGCCTGCTGCTGCCTGCGGCAGCGCGGCCGCAAGATCGCATGCTGTGACAGCTTCCCCGAGGCGCTGGAGGGCTGCAACGGCCCTGGCTTCCCTCGCATCGTTCACCACCTTAACATGCACGATGCCAATATGCACAACATGCCATCGACATACCTGAGGGGCTGTGTGCTGCCAGCAAAGGCGGGCTCGCCGATGCACGTGATGTGATGAGCAGCTCGGGGTGCCAGGCGGCTGACTGCCCCGGTGGCAAGGACCGTCAGGCGGCCGCTCTGCACCAGCGAGGACTGCATGGTTCAAAAACAGAGGCAAGTGGCGGAGCATCCATGAAGCGCAGGCGCATTCCACTTCAGCCAGCGTGGTGCATGGGACCGCCTGGCAGCCCTCCCCACGCCATTCCAATCACCACAGACGACCACAAGGTCATCAACCAGCCCTGCAGGGTGTTCACCTTGGGGGAACTACTGCCGCGCTTGTGTTGCCGCCTGTCACTGCTCTACCGCGTAGCCCCTCGCCGACAGCAGCCTTGAAACCATACAGACGGTAAGATTCCACAAGCTGCCACCGCCCGATCACCCCGCCTCCCCCTCCCCTCTGCTGGGCCGTCAAGCTCCGCCCTATGAAGAAGGCACCGGTCCTCTGATCGCCTGTAACATGCCGCCGTGACACGCAGGCCGCCGGGCTGCAGCACCGACTGGACTCTGCCCACTCGCTCGTGGTCCGCTGCCGCCGCTCGCCCAGCGGCCGCTGCTGCGTATGGCCTACCCTCCCACTGCTGCGTCCAGCGCAGCAGGAGCAGCAGCAGCGACGAGGACTTGAGCTAGGAGCATGGCCCAGGAGGGGCACAACGGCAAGCGGGACAGAGATGCGGCGCTGACGTGGGACGTGCCGCCGGAGCTAGAAGAGGCGGACAAGGCGGCGGTGGCAGGGCGTCCCGCGTTTGCCGCTGTGGCGGGCAAACACCTCGAGGCGCTGGTGGCACAGCTGCTGGAGGCGGAGGGGCTGGATGGGGAGGGGCGCTGGGCGCCGCTGGTGTGCCAGCTGGCGCAGCTGGCGGCCTCTCTTCTGTCGCCCACCGCAGCGGTGGCATTTGGCAAGCTTGACCCGCGCTACTACATCAAGGTGAGCAGGGCCAGCAGCAGGGCCATGAGGCTTGGCGCAGCTTTACCTTGCCGAGGAGCCTGAGACTGCTGCTTGCAAGCGATGCTGCGTAGCAGCTGGCATGGTTGCCACCAGAGTGCTGCACGGAACTAGACGCCCCCACCTGCCCCTCCCCCCACTGTGCCGCCCTGACCCTTGCAGGTGAAGCGCCTGGTGACCCCCGACGCCGACCCTGCAGAGAGCGCAGTGGTGCAGGGCGTTGCGATGCGCAAGAGCTTGGCGCACAAGCGCATGCGCAGCAGCATCACGCAGCCCCGCATCATGCTGCTGGGCGGGAGTGTGGAGCCGCAGCTCTCGCGCGCCTCGCCCGGCTCCGCCGCCAGCAAGCTGTCCAGCTTCGATGCGCTGATGGACCAGGAGCAGCAGTACCTGGAGGCCGCGGTGGAGCGCATCGCCTCGTTCAGCCCAGATGTGCTGGTGGTGGAGCGCAGCGTGGGGCGGTGCGTGGCCGCCGCCGCTGTTCTGCTGCGCCCCAGGATTGGCATCGGAGGCTGTATAAGACTGCCTCCACTCGACTGCTGTTACCTTGCTGTGCTGCAGCAGGCATGCGCCGCTGCCTGAGCTGTTCCTGACTGCTGGTGCTGCTGCTGCTGCCGCGGCGCTCCTTGCCTGCAGGTATGCGCAGGAGGTGCTTCTGTCCAAGGACATTAGCCTGGTGCTCAACGTCAAGCGCGAACTGCTGGAGCGCCTCGCACGCTGCACGGGGGCACAGGTGAGGAGGGTATTAGGGCAGGTGGAGTGTTCGGCTTCGTGCATGCCGCTGGCGACTGCAGGCATCCAAGCTTTTGTGGCTGTTGTTTCCAGACCTTGGGGAGTGAGCCGCCTGAGCCCCTGCTTGCCGCAGGTGGCGCCCTCGCTGGACCAGCTGACCAGCCACTGCATCGGTCACTGCAAGGCCTTTGAGGTGGAAAGCCTGCAGCTGCCCGCCAACTCGACTTCAGCAGCGGCGGCTAGCACTGAAATCAGCCCCCGCGATTTGCCAGAGGTGAACACTGAATGTCGTGCTGCTGTTGTCGAGTGGCTGCTGTGTGCCCCTTGGATGCGGGAGAGGCAGCACAGGCAGCATGCTGTATTGCAGCTCAATTTCAGCAGCTCACGTTTGTTTTTGAGACGCACCTCTGGCATGGTCTGGTGCTCGCACAGGGGCACCTCGTGGCGGATGCTGCTGCGCTGCGCAAGGCGGCAGCGGCAGGGGCGGTGCAGCAGGCGGGCCCCCGCGCCGTCATGCTCTTCCGCGGCTGCCCCCGCCAGCTGGGCTGCACGATTCTGTTGCGCGGCAGCGACGCTGGAGAGCTGCGCCGCGTCAAGCGGGTGGCCACCTTTGCTGCCTATGCAGCCTACTGGGGCATCCTGGAGGCGGCCCTGCTGTCGGACCAGCTGGCGGCCGCGGCAGCCACGGTCCTGCCGGGCGGTGGGCAGCCAGACGCGGTGGCGGGCATGGCCGACGCCGTCGCCTCCACCTCCTACCTGGCCACCGCAGAGGCACGGGGCCGGCAGGCCATCCTCTCTGCCTCGGCCCATGTGTCCATAGTGCTGGAGCGGGGCACATCGGCATCCGAGCTGGACCTGCCAACAGCGGCGAGCAATGAGGAGCAGCATGGCAGCATCGGCATCGGCAACGGGGGCAGCGGGGTGTGGGAGGAGGATGCGCCAGACAGCCCCGCCTCCAGCGACAGCACCAACATGTGGGTCCTGCCGGCGGAGGCGGGAGCGGCCACCTTCACTGTTGCTGGCAGCCAAAGCCTGGGGGAGGCAGAGGAAGACCCGACACAGCGGCAGCAGCAGGCCGGCGAGTCGGAAGCAGGCACCCCCAAGGGCGGCAGCGCCAGTTCAGTGGGCCTGGGGGCTCCCGGCTCGCCGCAAGACCCGCTGCACTTGGCGGCCAAGGAGCTGGCGCTGCGGCAGCTGCAGCTTACGGGCAGCGAGCCCCCAAGCCCTGCAGCTGGAGCAGAACCCCTAGGTGCAGCCCCAGACCCGGGAGACGCGTCACCAATTGAGCAGCAGGGCGCGCCCGGCGGCAGCAGCAGGGACACCGAGCGTGCGGCGGCGCAGCTTTCACGCCGCGCCTCTGTTGTGTCCTCCCAGCAGCTTGCAGCGGCCGATGCGGTGGCATTAGCGCATGAGCCCAGTGGCCAGGCGGTCCCCGCCGCCCCCGGCATGCTCATAAGCCGCAGCCAGCAGCTGTGGCTGGCCATCTCCTGCAAGAATCCGGCCAAGGCCATCCTCTGCGAGCCTTCACATGCCCACTGCATGGAGTTCTATGCCGACACGGGTAAGTGCATGGTCTAGTTCGGTGCCCAACTTGTATGTAAGGGTGGGTGCAGGTGGCGGGGCATGTGTGAGGGAGGCTGAGACATGCAGCTAGTCATGCGGCTGTCATCAAGCCTTGCCCAATTGAGCCATTCCGTGCTAATCCGTGTGCCTGCCCTCTGCTGCCTTGCAGACCTGCCCCTGGCAGCCTTCATCAGCGCCGCGGCGCCACCCAACCGCAAGTGTCCGCACCCGCAGTGTGGCGACGGAGCGCCTCTGCACCTGCGCAGCTTCATGCACGGCAACGGGCTGGTCACTCTGTCCAGCGTGCGCCTGCCAGCTGGCAAGGAGCTGCCCGAGGGTCGCGTCTGGATGTGGCTGCGGGTTATTGCAGCCGCTAATGGTGCCGAGGGCGCGGCGGCGGCGCGGCGTGTTCCGCTGTCTTCCGAAGCTGCCTGTCTCTCCTTTGCGCATCTGCTCAGCCTGCTACTGGATGCACGGCACCTGTCGCTGGGCGGCATGTCGCTGCAGCGAGACTTTGTGCGGTACCTGGGCTCTGGATCCACCCTGCTCTGCCTGCACTACTCCCCGGCGCCCCCCTACATCGTCAACATGCCTCCACGCCAGGTGGAGCTGCTGCCGGAGATGGAGGACGAGTGGCTGCAGGAGGAGATCAAGCAGCTCACAGAGGTGGGTGGTTGGGCGGGCGGTGTTGATTGGTGTTGTGGCTGGCTGGCTGCATGCTGCGCAGTTTTTGTATGCACCTCTGCCCCCATCATGGTGCCTTGCCTGTTGCAGGAGGCAGACGAGGCATTTGGTGCCATTGAGTACGCGCTAGGCGAGCAGCTGCGCGTGCTGGAGGGATCTGCCGAGCCGGAGCCTGAGTTTGCACAGATGTGGCTCGACACGCTGGCTGATACCCGCGCCACCTTCCTAGACACGGTGGGTTGGTGGGCTGACCATGCGGGTGGGCCGGTACTGCAAGAAGCTGTGTTTGGATTTGCCTCCCATTTGGCTGTCAAAGTTGTTTCTGGCCGCCTCAGTGCTGCTCTTCGCCATTCCTGCCTTGGCTGCTGCAGATCCAGGACACAATTACTCAATTAGACAGCAGCCCGCGTGCAGGCGGCAGCAGTGAAGAGCAGCAGCAGCAGCAGGCCGGCCCTGCAGTGAGCGTTGTATGGGAGCTGAACCGGCTGCGCAGCCTGCTGGCGGCCGTGGTGCTGCAGTGGGCGACGTGCCTGCACGAAGGAACGCCCAGCAGCCACGCCGCACCGCCCAGCGGCGCCAGCGCTCTCACCACCGTTCTGCAAAGCCGGCGAGCGGCAGCAGGCCACAGCCGCAACGTCAGTGGGGAGGTGCTGCCTACATCGAGTGTGGCAGCAGCAGCAGACAGGGAACCGGCTGTCTTGTCACAGGCTGATCTCTCGCCTTCTCCTTTCAGCCAGCAGCCCACGGACCAGAATGCAGCAGAGGAGCAGCCCCTGCCTGCAGCAGCAGAGCCAGTCCTGCAGCAGCAGCAGCAGCAGCAGCAAGCTGCTCTAGACCAGACGCAAAGGCAGGCACCTGTGCCAATGCAGATGCAGCGCAGGGACAGCACAGCCAGCTTGGGACGCCAGTTTATCGAGGCGTCAGCAGCAGCAGGTGGCCCTCCACAACCCTCTGCCTCCAGCGAGCTCAACTTTGGGGCGCCCTCGCTGCATGGCGAGGACGTCGGCAGCCTGGCCAACAGCCCGCACAGCAGCATTCCGATTGCGCCCCCTGCCTTCATCCCAACTGGCCTGGTGGCACGTTACATCGCCATGTTTGACCAGAGCCGCGACGGCGGCCGCAACGGCGGCAGCAGCAGCAGCAGCCCTACCGGCAAGGCGATGCGGTCGCAGCGCACGCACGACTGGGTACAGGCAGCGGATTCTGAGGCAAATGCCCTGCAGGCAGCAGCGGGCGTGGCGAGCAGCCCGGCCACGGCAGCTGACATATCTGGGCCGACTGAGGGCGGCGGGAGCAGCGGCGATGGCGATAGTGTTGCAGCCAGCGACAAAGCTGACCTTGGCAGGCAGCAGCAGCAGCTTTCCCCGCCACAGCAGCAGGGACAGGGGCAGCGCCCTTCTTTCTTCAGGCTGGACCTCACCAACCCTGACCCGGAGCTGGTCCAAGCGCTCACCCCCAAGCACCGCAGCACCGCAGGTACTACGCTGCGGCAGTCACGTTGGTGCTTGGCTGCATAGCTGCCACAATACTGGCTCACTGATGCAGGTCATGCTTATCACCCCTCCTGCCTGCAGATGAGGCTGAAGCCGAGGCACCCCCAAGCCTTCCTGGCAGGACCGCCAGTCGGCTGGAGCAGCTGTCTGCACGCCTGGGCCGTATGTCGCTCACCAAGAGCTTTACTGAGCGGCGGCGCAGCTCCATCAGTGGCTGTCCACTGGGCCACGCACAGTCTGCAGACTCGCCATCCCTGCTGCAGCAGCTGGATGTGGTGGCAGAGCAGCAGCAGCTAGCACAGGTGCAGCAGCAGCAGGCACAATTGTCGCAGAGGCCTCAACAGGATTGGGCACCTGTTACAGTGATGCCTGCACCAGCAGCAGCGGCAGCGGCAGATGCGGCGGCTCAGCAGGGCTCGACACTGGCGGCTGAAGAGTCGGCAGCTGAAGGGGTGCCGCTGGCAGGCGAGATCTCAGCCAAGGACAGTGCCAGCCACTGGGATGAGTGGAGCACGCTGCTGGTCGAGGGAGGGCCTGGACCACCAGACGCCGGCGAAGGCGATGGCGGCGGCGGCGGCGGCGGCGATAATCGGCTGCCGTTGGCGGGGGGCAGCAGCGGTATCGCATCCCCACTGCGCACAGCCGCGTCTGGCAGGCAGGATGCCATTTCCAAGCTGCAGGAAGCACCCATGCCTCCGGATCTGTCTCTGCCCAGCGGGTTACAGCAGGATGCGCGCGAGGATGAGCAGCCTGAGGCCGTGGTAGCACCTGCGGTCACGGCCACATCAGCAGCTGCCGCACCCACAGTAGCTGTTGGGGCCGTGGCACCTGTGGCAGCGATTCCAGCAACATTAGCGGCGGCGGCGGCAGCAGCAGTTCCAGCGGCCTCAACGGCAGTAGCAGCGGCCGCCGCGCTGCCGCCGCCATCGCGCACCCAGTCATTTGCCTCCAGCTCCCGCAGCCTCCTGCCTGCGCCAGCAGCTGGCGGTGCAGGCAGCGGCGCGCCATCGCCGCCTTTGGCATCCGAGAAGGCCCCCAGCAAGCTGATGCAGCTGCTGGGCAAGCTGCGCAGCGAGCTGGCGCCGGGGCACATGCCGCTGACGGCAGGCAAGGTGGAGCTGAGCGGCCGCGCGCTGCTGCCGGGGGGCGCCGATGGTATGCGAGTGGCGGTGTTTGACGACGAGCCCACCTCCATCATCGCCTACTTCCTGGCTACCAAGTGAGCGGGCAGTGGAGCATGGGCTGTGGTTGGGATGGGGTGGTGGAGAGAGATTGTGGGTGTGTGATGACAGACAGCGTGACAGCCTGTCGTTTATGGGTGGTCGACGCCGGCAGTGCCTGCTCAGTTGACCGGCATCTTGTCCCTGGCTGTACTGGCATACCGCAGGGAGTACCAGCAGTATCTGCATGATGCTGTGGCCACCGTCCTGTTTGGCGAGGCACGGCACCGCACCGGCGGTCTGGCATCCTCGGCAGCAACAGACGCTGCGGCTGGCGGCGCAGATGGCGAGCAGGGCGCGGCGGCCATGCCGGGATCCTGGCAGTCGCTACCAAGCTCACCCCGCCGCGGCAGCCGGCGCAGCAGCCTGGTGCCCGGCCTGCAGCATCAGCAGCAGCATGGACTTACAGCTGCAGGGGCTCCCTTGGTGGGAGGAGCTGCAGCAGCAGATGCGGTGCCTCTGGAAGCGGCGGTGGCAGCAGCTGGCGCAGGTGGGGTGGGGGCGCCAGGGCCAACGGCTGCTCAGCTGCCATCCCACAGCCGTGCTGTGAGCCAGGAGGAGCTGGCGGCGGAGCAGAGCGGCGACTGGCAGGTGCTGTTCCATGAGCAGCAGCTGGACTGCCAGCTGGCGCTGGAGGATCCTTCGCCCGGAATGCCCTGGGGCCGCGCCAAGTTCCAGGCAAGGCAGTGCGGGGCTGGGCAGACTGGATGGCTCGGGCTGGATGGCTCTCAGAGGCCAACGAGAGAGGTGAAGGGAGTGGAGCAATGCATGCGCAGCCTCACGCTTGCGCCTTGTTGTGCCCGATCCCTCTTGCAGATCATCGCCTACTACGCTCCCCAGTTTGCGGAGCTGCGGCGGCGGTGCGTGGTGGGCGGCGAACAGGCCTTCCTGGCCTCCATCAGCCGCTGCCGCAAGTGGGCCACCCGCGGCGGCAAGTCGGCCGCCTACTTTGCGCGCTCCTGCGACAAGAGGTGTGCGGCGTGCTTGCTGCTGCTGCAGTCCGCAGCCACCCTCCGCTTGCCTTGCCATCCACGGCCCATCCATTGCGTCCCAAGATCGTTTCCCTCTGCCGTCTGGCGGTGCCGTCCACCCTGCTTCCTGTACCGTGCGTACCCGCCGCAGATACATCGTGAAGCAGCTGTCCCGCAGCGAGCGGCAGTCGTTTCTGGAGTTTGCCCCCGACTACTTCCGCTACGTGGCCACCATGCTGCACCGCGGCCAGGACACGTGCCTGGCCAAGGTACTGGGTGTATACCAGGTGCGGGGGGGGGGGGGGGGCGTGCACGGGTGCTGCCCCTTTTCAGTTGTGTGTTTTGTTTGCCAGGCGAGATGTAGGGCAAGGGACAAGGAGATGGTGTGATAATGGCGGTGCATGTAGCGCCTTTCCCTTGCCCTGGTGTGCCCTTGCTGGCCGCTTGCCCCCACCCGGCCGCTGCATCTCTGTGCCCGCCCCTGCCCCTGCAGGTGTCTGTGCAGTACACTGGCGGCCGCGGGGCGCCCGCCGTGCCCCCTTTCGGCGGCAAAGAGGGAGTCATGGACCTGCTGGTCACCGAAAATGTGTTCTATGGGCGGGACACCCAGGTAAGGAAGGAATCGTGTTCTGAACCCATCTTTGTTTATTTTGTTGGGGACTCCTGCCTGAGCCGACCTCAATGGATGCCAAGCCAGGCCATGCGCCCCAGGTGTTTGTGTATCCGCAGCTGCTGCCGCAACCAGGGGGTGCTCCGCCTTTGTGTTCTTGCGCTTCTCAGGTGTCACGCATCTATGACCTCAAGGGTAGCCAGCGGGACCGGTACGCGGCAGACAACCCCGCAGTGGCAGGTGCGGAGCAGCCCCCAGGCTGCTGTAGTGGGGATTTCAGTTGCTGCGCCACCTGCGCTGGCCTGCCGACTGCTGTTGACCCTCGTTGCCTCCCTGCTGACCTACCGGCCTGCTCCCCTGCTGCTGTGCTCCCGCTGCAGGCGCAGTGCTGCTGGATGAGAACCTGAAGGAGCTCAACCTCACCTCACCCACGCTGGTGGGGCCACGTACCTTTGCACGCCTGCAGCGTGCGCTGTGGTCAGGTGGGTGCCGCCCCCCCCCCCCCCCGGCTGTTGCAGCTAATGAACTTGCCTGTGTGGCTTCCCACAGGTTGGCGCAGGCACATTGCCTGCTCTGGCCCCAACCAGCGTTCGTGTCATTTTGACGCTTTTCTTCTGGCCTCCTGTTTCCTGCAGACACCAGCTTCCTGGCGGGGCTGGGCGTGATGGACTACTCGCTGCTGGTAGGGGTGGACAAGCAGCGGCAGGAGCTGGTGGTGGGCGTCATCGATTACATACGCCAGGTGAGGTCACACTAACTGGCTGCCGCAGCAGAGCAGGAGCATTCACCGGGGTGAGCATAACTGTTCTAACCAGCGGCAGGTATGCTGGTGGAATTGGAGTGAACGTCGGAGTATGGTGCCGTGACACCGCCCGACCAATGCGTGCTTCGCCCTCGGCCTGCGCCGCCTGCAGTACACCTGGGACAAGCAGGTGGAGACGTGGGTCAAGAAGAGCGGCATCCTGGGCGGCGCGGGCAAGGACCCAACCGTCATCTCGCCCAAGCAGTACAGCCGTCGCTTCAGGTGGGCAGGCTGCTGTTTTCAAGCGGGTGGGAGGGCGGGCCGGCGCAGCTGCCGCAGCGATAGATTTGGTGTCAGTGTCGGGCGGCTTTGCCCTAGCCAAGTGGCCTATTTGTGTGGCTGCTCCCACAGGATCGCCATGTCCTCCTACCTAACTGTTGTGCCTGCCTGGGAGCCCCCCGAGCCGCCGCTGGACCCCGATGCCATGTGACCTCCCTTGTTTTGTTGCCTGTTTGGACTGCGGCGCTCGTCTTGCGGCCGCATGCTCCTGTCGCCCACCCAACCTGACTTGTCCACGCAGCGTTTGACAGACAAGGCAGCATGACGCCCTGCAGCTGTAGATCATCCATGACCGTTGAGAGCAGAGCGCACTTGCTTGTAGCTTCAGGCATTGCAGTCGGCAACAACTCGGGCTGTCGTGCATTATGCCATTCCCTTCCTCTTCCCTGCCCCAAGCCTTTGCGGCCATGCTGCCTCCCTCGCATTTGCTGCACCCAGGCCATTCTTATCTGCGCTGTACTCTCCCATCTGCCCCTGGCCAGCCGCCACCTCCACAGGCTGTGTGTGTCAGTCGTTTTGCATAGGGCACCGGTTTCCTGCCCCTGGCACTTTATGGCCTGTAAAGCTACTCTGCTTTTGCCGGAATTGCTGTCCTAGCCTTTACCTGATTGGAGACTTTCCATTGCATTCAATTCGGCAACAGCCTGGTGGCGGCGACAGGCAGGCGGCAGCCAGGGGTCCTTGCGGAGCCACCCCTGTATTAGCCGCTGTGCCAGGCATGCAAGTATCTCTTCTGTTTGCATAGCACGCCCAACACGCTACCTCTAATAGCTATGAAGACCCTGAACGCACAGCTGTGCATCGTCACGGGCCCCTCTGGGTCGCACGTGCTATGAGTGCTATGGGGTGATGCTGCACGTCACAACATCGCTTTCAGCCCATCTGCACGCAAATAAGCCGAGTTGTCACAGAATCGAGCAAAAGGGGTGTGGAGGTGCCGCTAGCCTTTTGCCCCTTCTTCCTCGAGACCCGCCGTGGCGTCATCTGAAGGCGAGCTCTTTTCCGCTTCCTTGCGCTCAGCCTGGAGCTCGAGTGGCACCTCCGGCCGTAGGGTTGCAGCAGGGTGGCGGGCGGGGGCCATCGGCTCTCCCACCGGGGCAGTCTCCCCACGGGGGCTGCTGCCGGTCTGGTGCAGGCCCGAAGCAAGCCGTCTAAGCGTCTCGACGAGGCCGCAGCACGCCGCAGGCAAGGCGAGCCGTTGGCAAGTGGCACTCGAGATGATAAACGTGTCTGGCCACAATGCCAACTCCCTCATCGAGCTGGAGGGTCTGTTGAGCATGGATGGGACGCCACACGAGTGAGTTGTACGGATTCATCAGCGAACGGCCTCGCGCTCCGCCTGGCGCGCCTGCGCAGGCTTACTCATGCTCTGGGCCACCCAGCGCTGCTGCTTGGCCGGACACCCAACCCTTCTCTGTCCAGCCTGCCTGTCCCTGGGATTCGCTTTGGTGCCGAGGCTGGCGGAGAGGCCTCTATGTTGGTGAAAGTCGAGCTTCGGTTCATCAATGAGGGCCAAATCTGCATGGTGATCATCCGCTTTCCACCTGGCTTTGTCCATGCAGGCGAGTCCCCGTCGACGATTATTTCAGCCATTATTTGGAGGGTCTGTCGTCTCTAGCAGCACAGAAGGCCGTCCCTGGTGCGCCCCTGCTTGCAGTTGCCCCGGCTTCGTTGCGAGCCGCCATGCCACAGGGCAGATAAGAAAACGCACCCAACTCCCCTTCACCTGCCCATCCCTGCCACGCTGCCCGCAGCAAACACAGGCCGCTCTGACAGTGCATGCCTGTCCAACTCCTGCACCCCTCCGGTGTCCGGCTCAGAGGCTCCGGCGTGCAGCATGATGATTGCAGCAGGCAGCTTGCCTTCCTCGGTGCAGATGCAGCCCATGCCACCGCAGGTGGCCACGGCAGCGGGCGGGGCCGCCCCCTGGGCGCTGCCGCTTATGCCGGGCATGATGATGATGCAGCCAGGCGGCCCCACGGTGGCAGCCATGCCCCTTATCCCTCTGCTTGGAGGCATGCCCATGATGGCAGTTGGCAAGCAGCAGCAGCCGGCAGCCGGCAAGAATGGCATCAGTGGCCGCCAGCACCAACGCCAGGCCACTAATCGCGAGGCACAGAAGCGCTACCGCGAGCGGCAGAAGGCGCGGCTGCTGGAGATGCAGGTTGCCATCGACTCGCTGACGCGCCAGCTGGCGCAGCACCAGAAAGTGCAGAGCCAGAACCTGAAGCTGGAGGTGGGTGATGGGTCGGTGGCAACTGATTGGGTCGGCGAGGCACCGCTGGATTGCCATGGTAGCAGCTGCCCATGCGGCTACAGGCGCCTCTTGCAGCCATCCGGGTGATGCCAATGTGGGCCCTGGTTTCACTTTCTCTGGTTCTGCTTCCGCAGCTTCCATCACTTTCCCACTCCCCCACACACGCCCTTCGCCTGCCCTCGCCAACCTGCAGGAGCAGCACTACCGTCTGCAGGCACAGCTGGCAAGGATTGAGAATGAGGCGGAGGCTCTGCAGTGGCAGCGGCAGCAGCAGCAGCATGAAGCGCGGCAGTTGTGCCGCAATGGCCGCTGCAGGGCCGCCAGCCCAGAGGCAGCAGTGGCTGTTGATGAGTCGAGCCGAGAGGGGCGGCAGCAGGCGGAAGGCGCTCCGCAGCAGCCAGCAGAGCAGGCAAGGCAGGATTCCTCGGTGGCCGGCTCAGCCGTGGGGGAGCGGCACGACTCTGCCGGCAGCCTGCCCACAGACAGTGACGCTGTGTTTGGCAGCGCCGAGGCAGCGGCGGCCACAGCTGGCCAGCACAACGGTAGCGCCACCGAGCAGCTGGCGGCAGCAGCGGCAGCCGCAGCAGCTGAGGCTTTGGGGGAACCGACGGTGGGCATGTATGGGGAGCCGCCGCCTCACGAGGCGTTTGATGACCTGCTTGCTCGCTTCCAGGCGCAGGTGCGAGTAGCGTCCAATGATTGCAGCCAGGTGGAGAACAAGAGCACCATCCTCGTCAATGGCCTGCGGCTCCGGCTGCGGCCCGCCTTACCGAGTCTCCTTGCGTCCCCATTGTGCTCGATGATGCAACTGCAGGTGAACAAAGTGAAAGACTTTCTGGCCGAGCAGCGGCTTTGCAACCACAACCCCTCTGGTGAGCCAGGCCAAGCGCGCGCTAGCCCCAATTTGGGTGATGCAGGCTTGTGGATGTGGCGTCCTGCATACGGCCTGGCGGTGCCCTGGTGGTCTTGTTACTCACGGCATTCCGGCTCCCTGGCTGCAGCGCTGGTGCTCAGCACGGCCACGCGCGGCCAGCTGTTTGCACTGATGCAGGAGAGCCTGGGCATCTGCCGCGACCTGCTGCGTGTGGGTGAGTGCGTGGCCCCAGGGGCTCTGAGTTCTCGAGAGGGCCAGGGCAGGCGCATGTGCATGCACGTGTGTGCTTGCCGCCGGCACGCTGATGGGAGAAGTGCGAAGGCTGGCTGCTGCTCGCCCTTTCCGCAGAGGGCGTGGAGGTGATCAACATGCTGGTCGCCAACGAGGAGACGATGGGCGTGGCAGCAGAGCCGGGCAGCCATGTACGCCGCAAGTGGCTGCACGTCATCCAGGTCCGCACCAGGGTCGGTGGTGCGGGACAGTAAGGCTGGCCACCCAATCGGCTGACACATGCGGCAGCCTGCTTGGTCCCAACAGCCACCTCTGCTGCAAAGCCTGCAGGTACTGCAGCTGACCCCCGAACAAAAGCAGCAGTTGATGCTGCAGCGCAGTGCGCACCTGGCCCTCATGCGCCGCATCTATCAGCAGCGCCAGCAGCTCAACATGCAGGCCATGTCCCTCATGCTGCTGGGCCCCAGCAGCATGATGCCCAGCAGCGACAGCGCCGCAGCCGGCACCGGCAACGCAGTGGTCCGCGCAGCCAGCAGCGCGCAGGCTGCCAAGCTGGCCGGCGTTCTGAACCTTGTCAAGGAGAACCTGAGGCGGGAGCAGCGTGCGGCAATGGAAATCAACTCGTGGTGAGCAGTTGGCACAGGAAGCTTGGCAGAGCGACACGCTGTTGGCGACCCCACTTGGAACCTGCACGGGGCTTTCTGGCCTGCGTCCCCTGAGCTGTGCAGCCCCCCCGGCTTTGCCCTCTGCTGCAGCACCCTGTCCCGCATCCTCACCCCCGTCCAAGCTGCACTGTACATCTGCGAGGCCTATCCGATTCCGCCGGGGCGAGATCGCGCCGGAATTCGCGGGTCGACAGCCCGTACCGCCGCCGCGTACCGCCCGCCGCCTC